TATATATATATATAATAACCATGAAAAGTATACGGGGGAAACGTTCGGTGTAACAAATAGTCCAAAAAGAAGGAATCCCATAGAAAGGCGCCATTAAAAAAGGGGAAACTAACACGCGTTCACACTTTATATATATTTGGTTTGTCCTATTTTAACGGCATACCACTCTAAAGAAATTTTTCTTCGACTAATCGTAACTCTCAGTCAGTCAGATATACTACTTTTCGGTGTCCTTCAAGTAAAGGAACAGCTCACAGCAGGGCTCTAACCTAACTATAGTGAAAACTATCTAGTGCTAACTGCTGTTACTGTTGGATCCGATTCTACTGAATCCTTCTTTACAATGAGATCGACTTTCAAAGTGCCATCCGTCTTTTATCTTTCTTTATTTTTGTCCTTTTTTTCGGTATATATCTTTTTTCTATTTTTTTCCTTTTCGGATGTTTTCACAACACCACTGGTGTTGTTCCTTCTTTAACCATTCCGCCTATTCTTTTTCCCATTTTCCATAGAATAAAAATGGGGACAGCGATGTTCATCGAGCCAACAAACCATCTGCGGCGAGTTTACAGAGGCACCAGCCCAGTCATTTCCCGACAATGGGACTGATCCATTGTAAAACGTCTATACCGTTCACAATATTTCTGTGATATTCCTGCCTTTTTGACTTCGAACACCCTGGGGAAACTTCTGTGTAATACCATTCGACAATGCCATACGAGAGAAGGCCGCCTAGTGATATACGTTCCTCTCATCCGCAAACGGTTACTACCACCGCAGTTCCATTAACCACTGTTTCCTTCCTTTTCTTTTCTTTACTTTTCTTTCCCTATACTTTTCATTTTTTTCCTCTTTCCCATTCCATTTTTCATCTTTTACGTATCATCGTATATCTATCTATTTAATGCGTAAAGGTATTTATATATTAAGGTATGTACGTTTGTATGTATGTTTGTATGTATCTATTTTTTTCTTTATTATTTTTTTTGAGTTTCTCTTTTTCGGTACGATCACAACAGTTTCTAACCCGTCTATGTGACAGATGTGCCACTTGCCCTTTTTTGTTTCTCCTTTATTTTATTTCGTTTCTTTTTGCAGGGATCACCGATCAAATATTTACACGTTTCTTTCTTTTTAGTTCTCGTACGAGCCTATGCTTATGATTAATCGTTAAAATATGTATTTATATGATATAATATAATATATATATATATATATGTATGTGTATTTATATGTAGCAAACCATAGAGAGTATGTACTCAGTAAAAGTTTGAATAAACTTTTCGTTACGATCGAGAGATACGGGAGGTAATAAAATTTATATTATTGACGTTTACCGTTGATCGTGTGAATTTTCTCTAGCCAGTATTCTAATGGTTCCCACCACACATTGAGAATTGTAAAATGACCCAAGTCGTATACTTATCGTTTAGAAAGATAGGATATATTCTTTTTTGTTTTGTTTTTTTATAACGCTTAATAAATAAATTTCATTTCCTTGGATCATTTCGTTTTCATGATATTTAATTAGATAATTATCATAATTATTTTGATTACTTTCTTTGACTCGATAGTTTCTTTTTTTTCATGCTTATCTTAAATATGTTTTAATTAGAGCGTTGTAGTGACAATAAGATTCATTATCATCATTTAAATTAGAGATTTAACGGGACTTAAATAACATTGTCCATTTGTATGTTTGTTGTATTTTTATAATAAATTAATTGCATTTCTTTTGAAATTTAATAAATTTTTAATACATTATTTTTATTATTTCATATCAATATATATATATGCATTGCATATATTATATATGTTACTTTGAAAGATCAAAATTGGATAATGTCAAGATTCATTAGGTGAAATGTCAACACATATCACATACGTTGATGAAAAACCGAATATTTGAATTTATTCATATACATTAATAATTTGGACATATTTCTACAGACCATGTGATATAGAAGATATACATATATGTATATATTTTGTTCAAATACTTATTCTAGAATGTTTCAATAATTATCGTATTACAATTCCATCATAATACCAATTTCCATACGATCAAAAACATCGTAAGTAATTAATTAAAAACTATCGACTGATAAAATCATATACTATACTATCTTATTATTTTCCAACGAGATACGGATAACAAAAGATAAAAGTTAAGCGCCTCGGGTTTAGGTATTCCATTTCTTCCCTTTCGTTCAAAGAAAAATTTTCCTCGAGAAAATGAAAGGACGAATTTAATGGCCCGTCAGTGGATTGGCATAGGGCCCCCTCTCCTAATCCCCCAACCACCCAATTCCAAAAACGGGAGCGAATGATAACTAAGGGAGAAGATGAAGAAAAAGAAGAAAAACATGAAGAAAATGAAGAAGATGAAGATGAAGAAGAAGAAAAAATAGATATGGGACGAATAGAAAGAGAAAGAAAAAGTTCACAGTAGGGAAGAAGAAAGAGTAGAGAGGAGGAGGGTTGGGGGCGAGGATCGATTGATGGAATTTACAGTGGGGCGGGTCATTTGAATAATTTTTATCGGTCCTCTCGGTTGAAACCATTGTCTTGTAAAAGGACCGTCTGAAATATGGCCGAAGATATATACGGAGGCAGTCAACTTCTCTCTCTCTCTCTCTCTTATTCTCACACACATTGTTCACATCTTGCTATCTTTCCCTCTTTTTTTTTGTATATATATAGATATTTCTTTCTCTTTCTTTTCAATAGAGTTAAATGGTATGGTATTTTGACCGAAACTCGAACAGGGCCGGTAGGCTTTTTGAAAACGTTGCGAACGGGATGAAAGAAAGAGAGAAAAAGAGAGAGTTGGGTTTAGTGGTGGGGGAAGAAGACATTCTTCATGGGGTATATAAAGAGAGGGTGAAGATTCGAGATAACCAGCTGAGAGAAAGAGAGAGAGAGAGAGAGAGAGAGAGAGTGAAAGTCCACTATGCTTTGCATTCTCGTTCTGTTTCTTCGATTTCTCTTCGCAAAGAGAAAGATAAAAATAAGATAGACGAAGACAAAGATAGAAAGAAAGAAAGAGAGAGAAAAGAGAACTTCTACGATAATTCGACGTGTCTCGTAGGGATCTCGCGTAAATCACTCATGGAAATGATCGAGGTTAAGTTTAGGAGGAAAAAGAGAAAAGGAGAAGGAAGGAAGAAGAAGGAAGAAAAGGGTTGCTACTCAAAGGGGAACCGATGTCTCTCGACCCTTCGGCTGATAACGTCGAAATGTTTTTGTTTTTTTATTTTGTAATCTTCTTTACTTCTTTTATTCTCTTTGTCTCTGTCTCTCACTTTCTGTATCTTTTTTTTCTATTCGTTCTAGTAGCTGCCTTGCTTTACTTAAAATAAAGTTCGTTTGCCGACGACGATGTTCTAGAGATAAATGTAGATAAAAACTATCTTGAAAGCTTTGAAGGAAAAGAAAAAAAGAAAAGAAAAATCATTATCTGACTTAGGCTTAATCTTATGTTTTTACCTATATTTACAATTAGACAAAATAGAAGAAAAAGAAAGTAGAAAAATAAAAGAGATAGAGAGAGAGAGAGAGAGAGAGAGAGAAAGAGAGAGAAGTTACTTGGTAGTTGGTAACGTTAATTTTAAAATCCGGATGAACGTTCAGATAAAGTTCGACTTCAGCTACAGTTCCGTTTGCTACCAATTCAAAAAAGTCTTGTTCCGTTTCTTGAAGCTGGGGAAGGGTCACGTTACCTCGCTGTATCACAAAATGATAAATAAATAAATCATTTCGCTATTTTCCTTATTCAATCTTTGTTTTTTTTTTTTTTTAACTTTTTTCATATTTTTTTATATTATATATCGAAATGTATTATATATCGGAATGATCGTATGTTTTGATTACGATGATTACGAAATGTATCGTATATTTTATAATAATAACTTACATATATAATGCAACTACTACATATACGTGTTTGTGTATATATATATGTACATTGGGGTGTTTTTTATATTTGACATCTGATACAATTTGAATGTGTGTAATAATTCGAAAAAAATAATTCGAATAAATAAATATTGATTCGAAATAAATTTAAAAAAGAAAAAAAGAAAATTCTTTTCAAACATTTCACTTTTCGGCATTAACATTTGTTTTTTTTTTTTTGTCCAAGTATTTATCGATATTCAATTAAACGCAGAGATTTAAATAATTTTTTTTTTAGATATAATTTATCAAAGAAAAAAATGTGAATAAAAGATTTCTAAATAAAATTTCTCGCGTGTTTACGAAGTACTTCATTTTTCTTTTTCTCTTTCTCCATCCTTCTATAATATTTTTAAATTAATGAAACATTTTATATAGATAAAACATTGATAATATAAAGATGAAAGGAAAAAAATAAACTGTTAAAAGATGAGGGGAAAAATTTTTTCTTTAGCTCGATATGAAATATTGTTTCATTGATGTTTAAAGGTATGCGCTTTTTTTCGTTACGCTTTTAAATTTACGACAGTGGAAAATTAATAATACTTTTTGAATGTTTTATCTCAAAGGTAAATTCAAATATAAAATTAATTATTATATATATACACAAATGCATGTATATTTTTACCAATTGGTAATCTTGTTCCGCTCCAATTCGGCGAGCATCCTCTTCGGCCATTTCTTTTATCGATTACCCGGTGCAATGATCCTAATACAATTTGCACAGAGGAATCGGGGGAATCTTTCTCTATAGAAAATGAATTTATTTTTATTTTTTACTTTTTAAGACTTAACGTAAATCTAAAACTAGATTACTTTGGTTAGAAAATGAAAGTGAATATAATGAAGTTTAAAAGGATCGAGGATTTGATAATGAACTACTTTCGGATAATTGGATTAATCGAATAAATAAATCAAACAAAATGTGACATTTCTTTTGGCCGAGTGTAAATCAACTTATTATCGATTGCGTGTATTGTGTTATATATACATCGTTTATAATTTATCTCCTTCTTGCTACGTACACAAATAAAATATTACTTATAATAATATTAATAGTAATATTAATCGCAATAATAATAATAAAGATATTAATAATAATACAATTGGAAAATATTTATTGGAAATAATATATAATAATAATATTAATAATAAAATTAATATATATTTCTTTTATTTAGATAATTTAAAGAAGGGTCATCGATATATATATATATATATGTTTGTTACCGTTAAATTGTATAATTCAGCTTATTCATAAAATAGCAAGATAACACGTGAAATAAATAAGACGTTTTGAAAGAAAGCATATAAAAAGAATATTATTATACACTTTAACTAATTGTTTTATTACATAACTTGGGTAATAAATGAATTCATTAAAGGCGAGTAATTAAAGTATTGTAATTGAAATTTGATCAATCTTTAAAGTTTGCTTTTCTTTTTCTATAACAATGGTCGTTGTTATTCGTTCTTATTCTGTTCCTTTGTTTTGAAAACTAATGTTCTGTTTTATCGGATTTAATCTACGAATCAAATTTCAATTTTGTACTTTATAATTACTCGCACCTCGTTAATTCTTATATTACATAGTTATAGTATGTAATTCTGTATGCTTTAATACTTTAACTAGCGAGTATAGTTATTTTATGAATTAACAAGACTTTCAGTTTTAACGGTAACACCATTAGGTGTGCTAATTAAATTCTGCGCCTTGATATAAAAATTGATTACATCAAAATTAACGTGTTATCTTCTTTTCTCTTATCAAGAAATTCAACAATTACCTTGAAAGAATAATCGAAGTTAATCATCGGAAAAAATGCTGAATATATGATTTATTTTTTTTTAATAAATAAATATTAAATTTATATTCAAAAAGGCACCCAATTAATAGCTACAACCTAATATATATATATATATATATATATATATATATATATATAGACAGGCCGGTATTGAAACTAGTAAACAGAAAGAAAAAAAAAACGAAAAAAAAGTAATAATAATAATAATCATTGTTTTATCTCGATAATTTTCTAATAATTCATATGAATGGCGATCGATTGATATTACCATACATAGGATGGAAAGAAAAAGTCCGATCAATAACGCGTGCAAGGGAAAATAGGTAAAGAATGTTTATTTTAATAAAGCTTTCGCGATTCGCGTTTCCTGTTTTTTTTGTTAACGAAGCACCAGTGTAACATAACGTGCGCTACAACACCGTGATATGCTTTAACACGTTTCGTTTCGTAAATACAGACACGCATGTATCTATTTCACGGTACGTATGATGTGTATGTATATGTACAACAATATGTGTACTTGTTGTTCCAGTATTTTCTTTTTTTATTCTTTTTCCTCCCACCTGACTTTTTTTGACTTTTTTTTTCTTTCTTTTCTTCTTCTTCGTAATCACACATAATACACGTAAAAATGTCGGGAAAACAACAGGTCATGGGGGGAGTCATTGGGGAAACAAACGATTAAATCTCGAGGAGTAAAAAAGAAAATACCAAATTTTCCGTAACGATAAATGGGAAAAAAGAAGAAAGAAAAGATTTAATTTTCGCGATTAAATCTTTTTCGTCGTCATTATATATATCTTCTTCTTCTCTTTCTTTAACAAATAGTTACACATTCGTACACGTTATACAAATACATAAGATGCATTCGATCAATATTAATTAACACTAGATTGCCCAAGGAATTCATTTTTACAAAGTTTCGGTTTTTCTAGTGTTAATTATTCATTCGCACTCATATACACTCATGTGTATCGCACGCATACACATTTTCATATATATTCGTATTTAAAAGTAATAGCTACTACGTAACGATATTTATATTATATACTCGTATGATACATAACATATACCAGAACGTAAAACGTTAAATAAGATTTCGATCTTTTTGCTTTTCTTTGAAAAAAAGCATCTTTTTCTCTACTACATTCACTTATAAAAGTCCTAATATTTTATAAGTTACTCCGTGAATTGAATTAAAATGTTCACTGTATTCCGCCACACAACACTTAACTTTCAAAGAAGAAAAATGATGTTTCGTCCCATTGTAAATGAACAATAATTAGTTATCAAAGTCATTCACGGAATATTAACGTACACGCACAAAAAGTATAAAGGAAAATGTATTTTGATTTAAAATCACGTGTTAAAACGATAATGAAAAGAAAAAGCTACGTTAATAACACACTTCCCCTTTTTTTTATATCATTTGCCATTTTGGCAATTTTTCCTTCCTTTTTCCCCTACGCCCCTAGTTCCCCACGTTTTTAATTGTAAAGCATGTCACTTGGTAAAACGGTTGATGCAAAACTGTAAAGGAACGAGGCGTACCAATGTACTCCTATATTTTTTTCATTATCTTCCATAATAATACTCGTAGTCTCATTGTTAGTCCTTTGTTGGCCGATTATTGGTTCAGTTTTTTGAACCGAAAATGGCGGCCTCTCGACGAAGAAAGATTCCAATCTTTTCCAAATTCGCAATGGAAAGAAAGAATAATGTGCCAATGTTTGACTGTCGATAACCGCGTAACACGAAGCTATAACGTCATCAACCAATAGCGTTCCTTCAGTCGTGAGTGGTGCAAAAACACCCATCTCAAGGACCAATTTAGTTTCGATGACACGATCCCAACGAAGACGATGTTGTTGATTACCACCCGAATACACTTTGTTGTTTAAATGATTTTCCATTATTTCGATGTTAATATTATTGTTATTATTATTAGTAGTAGTAATAGTATCTTCGTTCTCGTTATCGACAATTAAAATTTTATCACCGATTTTAACTCTGGCAGCAAATATCATTGATTTGTCCTTGATCGGTACCAAATGGGCTGGCGTCAAGGTCAACATTCTTCCAGATTCCGTATGAATTCTAACGAATTGTCGTTTTTCCCTCGGTGCTTTATCCAAAAAAGCTATAACCTCGCTATAGATCAATTCACCCTTAGAATTCATAGCTGCCACTCGTTCGCCTAATTGGATCTCATCCAATCTCTTCCTTACACCATTTTCAGTTCTGACGTAACTTTTGCCGGGGAAACAACCACCTGATTTGCCGGCTGATGATGATTCTGTAATAAAAAATGAACAAAAAACATTTAAATAAACACAAATTTTAATTTATATCTAATACTAGTAGTAAATCGTTAAGGATTATCAGATAAGAATATATCGAAGATGAAATTGTTTACAAATTATTTCACAATTAATTTTTAAATTCAAATATATCGAGACTAGTATTTTTTTCGCAATTATAAAAACGATATTTTTTCAATTTAAAAATATTTTTGATCAAATAAGTTTGAAAACATTTAAAAAGTTTGCTTTAATCGAACGGTAACGAAACAAATTTTAGGGATCCTATCTACTCAATGTGTATTTCAAATTCGTGTTTGCATTTTAATGTATTTAAAAACGACATTACTTTTTTTGGTCTCCCTAATACCTAGTTTTTTTTTATGTAGATAGAAGAAAATTGAGATCGAAAAAATAATTCTGGAACTTTTGATGACATTTTTTCGCGGACTTTTGCCTCGATTAACCGCGATCTCGCAAGGCTTTAAGTTTCTTTATCTTTCTCTCTCTCTCTTTTTCTCCAGAGGATCGATTTTTCGAAAAGGTAATCGGATCCATCGCACACCCAGGAATACCGATCAGGAAGGTCGGTGACGCGGACGAGTATAACAAGCAACATCCGTAGACCGGTTGTTTCTACCGTGGGAAATCTTTCGTAATCTCCCCACTCTCCTATACGTAACCGAAAATCGATATCTTTTCTAACGAATTCCGATCGTTCTCAATCGGATCTATAAAAGAACAAAAATATGTATGAAAGAATGGAAGATAAGGGATTGTCCTGTAAATCCTTATGACGATGACGATGATGATGAAAATAATTTTAAATCAATCCCGAAAGAGATCCAAAATAAAGATTACCTTTTTTTTTTATCTTCGAACGGTGCTAATAAGGTAAATCGATATCGATCTCTTTAGTACCGATCGTCCTTCGATCATGACGAAAAAAAAGAAAAAAAAAACGAACAGGAGGAGTAAGAGAGAGAGTTCAGACCAGAAAATATGTCACGCTTCGAACTAACCACCTTCTTCCTTCATTTTTTTTTTCTTTCATTTTCCCTCTCTCTCTCTCTCTCTCCTTCTGTCTGTCCGTTTGTCTGTAGTTTTGAAACGACCCTCGAGGCCGCGATCCATCGACTGGTATCGATTTCGCGCCTACTTTTACGCTCGATCTTTTAATTCGAATGGACAGCCATGGTACCCGATTTATCGGTATTTATTTCGTAATACGAAACTTTTACGTGTGACACGGAGGACGTGAGCATTATCGGCTGAGGAAAAGGAGAAAGAAAGAGAAAGAAAGAAAGAGAAAGAAAGAAAGAGAAAGAGAGAGAGAAATGAAAATCGATGGTTCATATCTTTTGAAAAGATGTTAATACTTATTAAAAGATCGTTCCATTCTTTTTGGTCGGTCAAAAAATCGAAAAAAAAAATCGTTAGACCATCTATTTCACCGAAATAGAAAGATCAGATAAATATAATTCATTCAAATTATCGTAAGATAACATATAAGTAAATACAATTAATTTTTAAGGATAAACTTAAAAAAAAAGGGTACCGGATAAAAGTAGAATCCTTTGGTCGATGTTATGTTAGATTAAACTCTACAATATCTGCGAGTAAGTCGATAAGACAGAAAATGTTTCTCAGTTTTAACGCTTAGCGGCGCTTCGTGTATACTCGCGAATAATGTATAATAAATTTGAAAATATATGTATATCAAAAATATATTACCAATCAATGATCTATATATCAAACAATACATACGAACAATTTTCGATATTATTATTCATTAAAAAAAAAAAAAAAAAAACATTTATGAAGAAAATTTGAATTTTGATTATTCCTAGCGTGGTTTCTAGTAAGAGAGTTTAATGCTTTAGATTGTCTTTGAGAAAAAAACAAAATAGCGCTCGAAAATCCTCGTAACTTTATCATTGTATTGGTTTTTATGGGCTTGAAAAAAGTGTATTTTAATAAGAAATACTAACCAGATTTAACGGAACAGTGTATATGAGATCTGGACTCGTAATAAACCCAATCGAAACCAGCTTCAACTGCAAGTCTCGCCAACATTCCGTATTTTGATCGATCGCGATCACTCGTCGTCACGTCTACGGCTCGTCCTTCGTAATGGAGGGAATCGGTTGCATGTTTTCCCTCCTCGTCCCAGCCTTCCGTAACTCTCAATTTAACTCCGGGCCACTGGTTCATTACCGAGATTGCTAAGGTGTTCAATTTCTCCTTACATCTCTGCAACATTGAAAATATTTCATATTAATATGCGTGAACCAAAATTTTACGTGTTTACGCCTTTTTCTTTCTTTTTCATTTACATAATATCTTACAAATAAATTGTAAAAATTGTTAATGTATTTTTTATTATATACATATATTTTTAAATGATATCTATCGATATATAGCAAATAAATATGTTCGAGAACATAAAATTTGTTGAAAATGTTTTAATATGAAATAATTAATGTAATAATAATTTGTATTATAATAATAATATACTTCTCAGTATGCTTTTAATATATTGTATTTATTCAAAATTTAGAATAGCAAAGAGGGTAGATAAAGTTTCAATAATATCACAATTATATTCACAGACACATAAAAATTTGATATTTATTGAAAATCGAGTATAAATATATATATTCGATCATTAATAAAAAAAATTGACAAATACTAAATATTCATAATAATATTAATATTATATACGTGAGTGTATAGAATAGGCATTCTACATCATAAGCTCATGCTTCAATAGATATAAATTTAAATATTGACAAAAGAAAAAATGAAATAAAAGGATAGACCATGAATAATCGGCAATTCTCAACCCTTTTAAATAGATCGGAAAGAATTCTATGCTGAAAAATAACTTTTTCACTTTTTCCATTACTCTTTGTATGAACCAACCATTTCTATTTCTTTTTCAACTTCATTTATTCCGCTGTTGGAAAAAAGTTTTACTTAAAGCGATTTAATTTTTTTTTTGGTATATCATTGAAGCGATGTAAGAGGGGAAAAAAGTCACGGTTGGGAACCCCCCCGTGTTCAACGATTTTATGCGGACGGATACGGGAAAAGGAAAAATCGTTCAGCTAATATCAGACCGAAATCAATGAAAAAAAAACGATACTTATACTAATACCACACTGCTACGAAGAAAAAGAAGAAGCAAAAGTAGAAGGGAATAAATACGAAGAGGAAGAGGAAGAGGAAGAAGAAGAAGAATAAGAAGAAGAAAAAGAAAAGGAGACACCCCTGAGAGTCAAGAAGACACGGAAAATGAATGCATGTTTTGACTGGACAGAAGAAACAGAACGGGATCTTCTCAAAGGGACTTTAAGGACCTTCAAAGCCCCGTAGCGAATCAAGGGGCAAACAGGAGTATAAATACGGTCGTCGTGTCATGGATTACTCGGTCAAGCCATCATCCTTTTGCTATGTGAGTTTAAAAGGTAGAAACTCGAAGAAGAAAACATCCCTCTCTCTCTCTCTCTCTCTCTCTCTCTCTCTCTATTAAACTTTCCTCTACCTGCTCCTTTTTCATCTTAAATATTTGGAGGTAAAAAAAGGTACTTGAAGATATTTAATTTTCCTTCTTTCTTTTTCTTTATCTCCATCTTGAGGTATTATAAATCAGTACAAAACGATTTGTCAAATTATTTTCTCTTTTTTTATTTCGTAAATTTGATTATTTGTTGTATATACACAACTACTACCGAATTCATTCAATGAGAATAATGAAAACCCATAAAATAGGTACTAATAATAATAATAATAGCAAAGGATCAATAACCTTTTTTCCCCAGACCTATTTACAAGAGAGAAAAAGAGAAAGTAAGAGAAAAAAAAAGAAAAATCATAGTTTCGGATGAATGAACCAAGGGGATACAAGGAGTCTTGTAAAACCTCAAGAGATAAAAGAACTCAATAGAAAAACGAATATATACATATATACACATTTAAAGGTGTTAGGAAAAAAATCCAACTTCATGAAATTCACCATTGACTCGGTGTCAATGGAGACTGTGAAATATTTGAAAAAAAAAAAAGAAAAAAAATACTAACGCGATACGATCTATACCATTTGTGTCGCGTATAAACGTGAAAACTTTTAAATGTTCTTTTCTAGTTCATTAAAATATCCGAAAGAAAAAATATATATGTATATATGTATAACGAAACCGTTCGGTAAGTTTCATTCGTATTTTTCAGACCGAGTGGTTTCTTTCACGTTAAGCTTGATCGAAATTCATCCGACAGCCGATAGGCGTGCGATTTTTATGCACTAACACACATAAATATCTCCTATATATATATATATGTATACAAACGCATACATGGCCATAGGTAAGAAGGGCTTTGCTTTGCTTGCTTCTTAACCAGACACCTTGGATTTTCATCGGGGAGGATTCGAAAGTGGAAAGGTTGCCGCGACCGGTCCCCCCTTTACCCCCTCTACCCCTTCCCCAATTTTTTCTTCCTGGACTCACTCAATAGAAGCTAATTGCCAACGTGGAGCCGCAAATTCGTGGACATTGTCAACCCCATCTCGTTCGCGATATCGAACGGGTCTTTGCTATACATTGTATACAGAGTACCGACCAGTTTCTTCCTCCCTTCTTCCCTTCCTCCCTTCCTCTTTTCACCCTTTTTTCTTCCTTCCTTCCTTCTTTCTTTCTTTTCTTTATTTTTTTTCTTTTTTCATCTGATTCTTTTCCTTTCTCTTTCTACCATAACCCTTTTCAGTTGAACCCTTTATACTTTTAATTCTTCTTCAGATTCAATTATATCAAATTCAATTTGAAATGTTTCTTTCGCATACAGTTTGACTAATTCAGTCGTGTACAATTGATAGATATTGTTTTAAATCTATAATACTTCTTTTATTTTGTTTGTTTTCTTACTTTTTAGAATAATTATTAATTATTTGTTTTCCCGTATTGAAGATAATTGTGTAATATTTTTATGATTTCAAACGAAATTTTGAAAAAACGTTGCTTCTATTAAACCGATATTATAAATTATTTTAATATTATTCTTTTTATATTAGTATGATATAAAAAGATCTTGTACAACATTTAGTATATTAAAGAACAATATTAATTTTATGCTAAATAACAAAAAGAAAATATAAATATAAATAGAATTACAAATGATCAAATATAAAATATTTTTGACCAATGACAAAAGATTTAAGATTAAATGAGATGATATAACCACGTCGTATTTTAAAGATCTTAAGAAAATGACGTAAAAATGTGAGCTCGTGCGAAATCAGTTAGTATAATATTTGACATACGGTGGGAACGTTATACGAATGGGGTGGGACGAAGGTGGAGAATGCGATAAGAGGGAATAAAAGGAGGTGGAAGAAAGTCGAGGAATAAGAAAAAAAAAAGAAGCCAAAGAAGAAAGAAAGAGAGAGAGAGAGAGAGAAAGTATAAAAGGACCCGAAAGAGAACGCGGTATAAAGAGAGGAAAGAATGGTGAAGGGCCCAAGAGATATACCGGCTGTGGTGCACGATGGGGTGCCTTGTTCGCGCAGCGGGTTGCACTCTCGGCCCCTCCCAGACTTTACATCTATTTACAAACATTTTGGCGGAGTCGAGAGACATGGTACCTTTTCTCTCTCTTAAAAGAGAGTGAGTGTGAGAGAGAGAGAGAGAGAGAGAATGTCGGGACCTTATGAAAATCCATTCTCAGTGAAAAATGGCCTAGCCTGTAATCCATTAAAGAATGAGAAAAGAAAACGAGAGGATGCGGGGGTGGTGATATTAATAATAATAATAATAATAATAATAATAAGAAGAAGAAGAAGAAAAAGAAGAAGAAGAAGAAGAAAAGAAGAATTAAAGAAAACATTAAATATACAAATAAATAAGATAAAATTTGAAATAAAGTTTGGTAGCAATTATCGAATTAATATCATGATAATTATTAGTGATAATTAATATTAATATCGTGATAATTATTATTAGTATTGTGATTATTAATTATCGTGATCGTTATATGTATCATTAATATTTTCTCAATAATCTTGAGTATATATATACTCGTATATATAATTAAAAATTAATTATACTTATACCAGTGGTAGTAGAAAAAGAATAAGAAAAAAATTACATCATTTAATGAGAGAAATGTATGTGAGTCATATTAAATTATCCAATTACCATGCTTATCACAGATATAATTAAAAAGTAAATTTTATCTTTAAACAGTTTAATAAGACATTCCGTACATGTGCTCTTAACGATTCTATAAATATATTAATTCAAATCATGAGATCCAATTTATAAATTTACGCAAAATTATCGTAATACGTAAAAACGAATTAACATTTAATTATAAAAACACAAAAGACAAAGGGATAATAAATATATATACGTTCAAAATATAAAATATAAAATTAAACAAAATTTCTTAACTATTAAATTTAACCCGTCCCCTTTCAAAAAAAAAAAACAAACAAAAATTCAATAAAATCTTTCTCATTATCGACAAAATAAAAAATAAAATAAAATTATATTATTATAATAAAATAAAATTAATCGACTCGAATTTACGTGATTTAAAAAAAAAAAAAACGTTCTATAAAAAAAAATCAACTAACTAACGTAAAAAAAAATTTTCTTCTTACTTTTCTTTCCTTTATTTTCTTTTTTTAAGTTTTCGTCTTGTCAAATGCAAAAAATGGGGGTAAAAAAGAAATAAAATTATTATATCGAAAAAGCCGGCCTTTTTCTTTCTACCTTTGCTAGTGGTCCCCCTATGGGCTCGTTATCGTTTATAATGGTGCTACCAGGATTGCTCGAGGCGTTTATGAAAGACGAAAAGAGGAAACCAGTTCCGGTGAGTGATGTACTCGTCGCGTATATGATGCCTTCTTCTCTTCCTTCACCTCTTCCCTACCTCCTCCCTCCCCCTCACCATCCACCTAACCCCTCTTCGACCATTTCTCAACCATCTTGTACATGCAACATACGTGTTATCTCCTCTCCATCGTACCTCGGCGCGATACCTCCTAATTACCGATCCTCTATCACTTACACCTCGTTTACATATCTTATCGCACACGGTAAACGGCTGTTAATTGTCGCGTCTTCTCGATTCACCTGCTTGATCAATGATCTCTCTCTCTCTTCCTTTCTGTCTTTCTCTTTCTTTTTTTTTTCCTTTCTCTCTTTTTCTTTACTTCTCGTCTTATTTTCTTATCCACTCATTCACTCAATCAT